ATTTCATTATATCTACAAATCTGTACGCAAAGTAGAAATATCAGAGTCCTGTATTTGCAAGCCATAGAAGCTGCACAAAGATCATCTTATAAAGTGAGCATGACCTCAAACTATAATGTTAACAACAGAAGTTATTGCTACCAATAATTATAACTCTTATTTACTGGGGGAGAGCGTCATCAGACTGACCCAAACTTTATCAATCACTTTGCTCAGTTTGTGTATAGAATTTCATGCAAAGGTAATTTTGGTGGCTCATCTGAAGGTAACTTTTGTGTCTATCAAAATGACCCTGAAGTTGTCCCCAAAATGGCCCTGCCTAGGTTGCCATGGTAAACAGCCAGGCTACATTGCTATATTCAGTTCTCCGCCAGGGTCGCCATGGTGACTGTAAAGGACTGCTCCTTACAAGGACCCCACCAGGGCGCGTTTCCATGGTGACCCCATCCTGCATATTTCTCAGCAACATCTCTTCCTTTGTACTGTGACCAATCACGGCAGGTTCATTTTTGGAATAACTCTGAAAGGTTATTCCCAAAGATTCCATCACAGCACAAAGAGATTTGGAAGGGAGAAGACATGTAAATAAACTAGCTGTTTAAAAAGCTAGAAGTAGTGGCATTTGCAAAATAATTACATCAGTTATCTATAAATTTAAGAAATCAAACAAACAACCTCTCAGCTTGAGCTTGAAATATATTACAAGGGAGCTCTAGTGGCCTACTATATAGGGTATTGTACAGCTAACTCATAGTTGGTGTCTTCTTTCTGGCAGTGTGAATCCACCAGTTGCTCAACGGAGAAAGATGGTACTCTCTTCCCAAGAGATTGACAGCCTTGGAAACCCACGGGAGGGTTACCTACGAGTTAGTTTTTAACTGGGAGCAATGAGAGTATGAGAGATATAATTTAGGGATAATTTATTTGAAGTGTAACATAACAATAATGATAATGTACCATATGGGTTGAGGCTCAATGTCAAGAAGACAAAGATTCTCACCACTGGACCAACTGGCAGCAATCAGGATGGATGGTGATGAGATTGAGATTGTTCACAGCTTAATTTGCTTGGCTCCTCAGTCAACACTCTTGGCACCAGCAGCCAGGAAATTAAAAGATGTAAAGTCTGCTGTTAGGGACCTCTCTGAAGAACTGAAGAGCAATGGTGTTTCTCCAGAGACTAAGGTGCATCTGACACAGGCCATGGTCTTTGCTATCACTTGTTATGCATCAGAGAGTTGGACAATGACTAGGGAGGATAGAAGGAATGCTGATGCCTTTGAGTTGTGGTGCTGGAGAATAGTATTGAGGGTACCATAGACTGCTAAGAAAATGAACAGATTCATCCTGGAGAGGGTCAAACCAGGCTGCTCCTTGGAGGCAAGGATCCTGAGGCTTCGTCTAACATACGTTGGACATGCTGTAAGCAGAGACCAGTCCTTGGAGAGGGACATCATGCTTGGGAGGGTGGAGGGACAGAGCAGGAGGGGGAAGGCCCTCTATGAGGTGGATTGCTTCAGTGACTGGGGTTACTGGGATGGGTGTGTCAGAGGCAATGCGATTGGCACAGGACAGAGTGGAGTTTAGGGCTGTAGCACGTAGGGTCGCTATCAGTGGCAAGTGACTTGACAGCACATAACAACAACCACCACCTAAATGTGTCCTTCAAATCTGACTGAAAAAATCTTACAGAATATAAAGCAGATAATGAGTTTCCAATTCCTTCAGTTGTGTAATTTAGCAAATAATTAGATATTAAATACTTTGTAGGAATGTGAAAAAAATAATAAATATAGACTGACAATCAGGTTATAATAATTCACTTTTTAAATTTTTTTTTTATTTTATTATTTGTGTGAGTGTACTGTTAAATCAGATCTGACTGTACAGGAGGAGATTGTCACCCCTTCCCTGGCAGAGCATCTGGTGGATTCGAACTATGTGCCTCTGGGATTGTAGTGCACCTTCTTGCCACTAGGCCACCAGAGCTCCCCAATAGTTCACATTTTGATGGTACACAAAAAAAAAAAACCCTGAAGCATTTGTATAATTCACTTAAAAAGAAAAAAATAACAAAATGAATTTTTTTTCTTCATTGATTTTGAAAAGACAGTCATATCTGGGCCAAAACTATTTTCTCCTAAGTGTGCAGTTTGTTGCTGTTGTTGTTAGAACCATCCCAATAAATCTTCCCTTCATTTTAAATATGAATATAGGACATTCCAAACAGATGCTTGAGTTTAAAGCCATCTTCACATCTCTAAAAACTTCAAAATACTGTATTTTTTTCCAGTATTTGATGAAGAATAAAATTTAACCTTCTCACATGATCATTCATTCATTCCTTTCCTCCTACCTCCTCTGCTCTCCCCGTCTCCCTCTCTTTTTCCTTCTCACTGAGTTGGACTATCTCATAAGAGTACCCTAAAATTTAACTAAACCCCAATTTTAGTATTTTTAATAAATATGTAGTAAATAAGCCCTCTCCCACCAAAATCATGCTTTTTTGTTGTTACTAAATATTTTCCAAATTTACTACTTTTCTATAACATTTAATTATTCAGTCAGTCTTGTCTTCCAGGTCCTCAGATACTGGAGGTGAAGAGAGGAAGGAACATACTCATAAAAGAAAAAAGGTATTTTTTGTATGTAGTTAATTGTATTTTAGTAGTTAATGCTATGTAAAGAAAAAAAGGGGGGGGGGACCACCACAGAGGAAAAATGTGAAGTCCACAGCCACATTAGTATGGGGGCTACAGTATATGTTTAAAGGGGGCACTGAGGACTAACCCCTGACCTTATATAAGCATGATCAATGCTGTTGTGGTGGTTGTTGTGTGCCACTGAATTAATGAGATGCTATGGCACTGTACAGGGAGCTCTAGTGTCTAGTGGTAAGAAACTGCACTGAAATCCTGAAGATGTTGTTGTTGTTGTTGTTAAGTGCCATCGAGTCGTAGGCGACTCTTAGAGACCCTATGAAGAAAAGTCCTCAACAGCTGTGTGACTTTCATGAAGTTCAAATCCTTCAGTTGCTCCACGGGAGAAGGATGGACAATCTCCTCTTGAGCGATAACTGCTATACTGAAAACCCACTTAACGGTGAGCTATGGCTCAGTTCAGACTCAATGGTACACAACAACATGACACGTTATTGGTCAGAGAGTTACTTCAAAAGGTTTCCTAGTCTTTAATCATAATAAAAACAGCACTAGCGCTTTCCTCCCATGAAATTATTCATGAGTTTAAATGACTATCCTTTGAGTTGGTATCTAAGCCCTTAATCACTGCACAACCAGAACTCAGTACTTGTAGTGTCAAGGGTTTATTGTTCAAAATAGATTTACACGCTATTGTTTCACTTTGACTTTGCCACATGCATGGCCACATGAAGGAGCAAGCAAATAGGGTGTGTTAGTCTGTCCACAAGGGGATTGGCTAGTCTCATCCCTAAATAGAGTAGATTTAGCAGCAAACACTGGAAATCTCAATATCAACAAGGAAAAGAGAGCAGTGAGTATTCTTTGGGGTCAGAAATTCCTGCACCAGCCAGATTAAGGTTTACACAAGAGCAACAGAAGCCTCACCAGAGAATCAGAGCCCAATCTGAGAAAGAGCTGACTTGTGAAAGCAGTTCCATGGAGATAGAGCCAAAGGCTTTCACCCGGACTCACTAGGGGACTGAGGAAGTATGTCAGAACTGGCAGGACTAAGGAACCTTGTAGCAGTGACATAGGCTGTTAAGCTGAAAGTCATATCACCTGCAATCACACCTGAGAAACTATCTGGACTGAGGGAATGTATCTGGCTGCCAACCTGAATGTAACTTCCCTAATAAACCCTATAAGCAGGAGTATGACACTGTAAAGTCTGTGCAGTCTGTGTAGTCGTTGCAATGGATTTTTGACCCAGGAGAACAGTAAGATTGCTGCTGGAATTAGTAGAAGAGGTGCAGGTGCATGGGAGGCATGTTTAACTCATGGGATTTGATAGTTTTTATTGCAGATGCTGTTGGTGGGAGCAGTTCTCCCTTGTGAAATTAACAGAGTTCGGACTTAACCATCTTCATGTCACCCTTGCTTCTTTTACAATACAAAATACTAATCTAAACTCTAAAAAATAAAAATCTTTCATAAAAACTCAAAAGAAGTAAAATAACCTAATAACCAACTTTCCTGCTCTCTACTTGTGGAAATAGTAACTACTTTGAGGCAGGCAAAAAGAACCATTCTCTCCAATCATACACCTGTCTTACAAAAATTTTATAAAAAACTTGGACCAAATTACTATATCTCACAAGTCTCTTTTTCAATTTTATACTGAGAATCATATTCTAATCTGATTTAAAAAACTTGGAAAAAACAGTTAAAATACAAATACTATAATATTTACAGATAAAAAAATATCCTTCATAATATTTAGACTCTTACTTCCCCCCAAAGACAGTTTGGCAAAACACTGAGAATTGCTAAAGCCCAATGCTAATTATATTAAAGTTCATGATCTCTTTTTTTAATACTTTATGATCTACATTTCTTTTTTTTAATACTTTAAAAATCCACAATAAAACAGTTTCAGAAAAGTATTAAACTTGAAACCGCCTTCATAAAGACATTCATGATAAATACCCAGGAAAAAAAGGTATAGAGGTTCATCAAGTTATTTTGTGTAAATATAAAAGGAGCAATAAGTGGAATTATTTATTAGGTACTTATTAACCTTCTAGAATAATTCCCTTATTTCTCATGGATTTTTCTAACACATGATATTCATATTTTTAAAATTCTGTGTTTGTCTCAGATTGTAAGACATGACTCAGAAAAGCAGAAAGGTGTGTCTGTTAAATCTGTAGTCACTTAGTACTCGGCAAGTACTAATTTGTGGAAGAGATCTTGACATCCTTATGATACAAATGTTTAATTGAGCTCTACATTTACAATGTTAACACGATTTTTAGACGATGAATTATTTAAAACTATATCCACAACTTTAAAACTTACCAGATCAGTATCTGCCTTTTTATAGGTCAAAGCTTCAACTTTAGAGTCCAGATCTGCTTGTATTTGGTCTCGTCTTTTCATAACACCCTTCATGTAAAGCATGGGTATAAAATAGGTTGTACTTAGTTTTAGTCAACTTTTCTATAACAAAAAAAATAGATCTTTAAAAGAGAAATAGTTTTTTCTCCCCAATTCATCAATAATTTAGAGATATAATGCCTTAAAGATTTTTAACAAAAAATTGAAATGCTAAAGATAACGGAAACACATAATTGTGATGATTGTTACAGAAATCTTTTCTTAGATTTCCCAATGTACATCTTACCTGCATATTATAGGTACAATTTACTTGTTCATTTATGTACAGTGTTTTAAGGGATTCTAACCATGTACAATCCCTTATAAAAAAAACAAAAATACAAAAACCCCTGAAACAAGTAGGTGCAGTATTAATACCACCAAGAGAATAAACTGGTTTTAAGTGAGAGGGTATTATCAGACTCTCACCTGAAAGTAATGACAATCAAGTGTCAACTCTCTTATATATCTCCAAAAAATAGTTAATCAAAATAGGCAATTGAAGTGAGGAACTTAAAAATGTTAATATGTATTTACATCTTAATTAATTTACTTTAGCCCAAAATGCACAAATATTCATTAGTTAGTCAAGCTTTTGATGAGAAATCATTGCCTTGTCTTATCTGACAGGAGTAAGAACATGTCTTCTTCAGTAAGCCTGATTTTATGCTTCTGTGTCTTGTATGATTCCCCATATTCCTGTGAAGCAACTGAACACAGAATTTATCTACATCTTTTACTACTTTTGCCCATCTTTTACACTATCTTTCTCTTTAAGACATTTTCTCTTAAGATACTCTAGTAGACTTCATAGCAACAAAGATTCTTTTCTTAATTTGAACTTGTATTTCATTGGTTTTCACTTGGTCAATTATATAGTGGAATTCCCATAATGAATATAAGCAACTTGACCAGAATAAGAAAAATATTATCACTAAATCTGAGTAAGCAAACAAATAGAGATACAGGGCACAGAAGAGAAGGACCTTAGAAGGCCCATACTCTTCACTTTCTTACAGAGAAGAAGAGCTAGACACCAACTAGTTATACAGAGATCAGTTAAGACAGTTCTACAGAATTTGAGTGAAAAATTAAGCTGTGAAGAATAAAAAAACCTGACAACCTGTGTCTGGTGGAGTGACCCTTACAACATTCAGATGAGAAATCTATTTCTCCTGTCTTTAAAGAAATCACTAAAAAAAAAAAATCAACTCAGGACCACAATTCCACTTGTTATTTATTTCAATGTTTAGTAAAGTACTTTCTCTAACCTAGATGAATCATAATGTAATTTAGTCCCATTTATTTCAGGTCTATTTCTGTAAATATGAAGGATTCTGCTTGAAGAAGGCAGAAATATAGAGGAGACCATGCTTCTAAAAATTTAGTGCTGAAATCTACACAAGTGTAATCATTTGTTAAGACAAATTTTTTTTATTCTTTTAGCTGAGACTGAAAATAAACATGCTAATATAAAAAAAAAACCAAAAGACGCCAAAATAAATAGTATTATTGATCATGCCTCGAAGGCTACAAAACAACATAATTAGAGGAAGGTCTCAAAAAGAATACTTTCTGGTTGCTATTATTATTTTTCCACAATTTTAAAGTCACAAGACATAAAATGTTCTGACTATAATTTACATCTTGGCATAATAAGGATGAAACATTATCTAGTTAAGGGAAGGGATATAATATTTTCCCCCACCCCAGGGAAATAATATTTTTAATGATAACTATTATATATCTTTGTGACTGCACAAAGGAGGGAATAATAAAGAAATAAAATAACTAAGTATAGCAAAGGAATTTTATGAAGATGAAAGGGAAACGTCCAAGCAGGAAAATGCTAAAGAAGTCCCTAGGAAGGAGAAAAGGTTTGTTTCATAGAAGCTCAACAAAGTCAAGAAACAGAAGAAATCAGGAATATCCCACAAAATATTTAGAGATTGTGTCAAGAAGGACCCATGTATGAAAGAAAGATCCATTATTCTACCTCTGTAAGAATAAGAGTTTGCTTACCAAGAAAAAAGTACCACTAAAAAGAAAAAAGCCCCTAGAAATCAAGAATAGAGAAAAAATCCAGAAGCCCACCATGGCTCCAATTACAAATAACAAAAGAAATGGGTTTTATGTATGAATGCAAGTCATTCCTTCCCATAACTTCACCTGAAAACAAGAGAAACATGAGAGTGCCAGGAACAGGGCTGGAAATCGGGGTGTCTCACCCTGCCACTGTGCTGTGCACTGAATCTCATTTATCAAGGTCTTGAAAAGGTTCACAGACACATTTTCCATATTTATAACTTTTCTTGTCCCACCTACAATTCCAGATTATCCAAATAATAATAATTATTAATCTAATTAATAATAATTAGACATTCTACTCTGTTCTGGTTTCACTTTTTTGGCCATTATTGAAACAGTTAAATCAATTTAAAGCCTTGCTGGAAAACTCAAAGGCAATTCTGTGATGAAAAAAATTCCTCAAAAGCACCAAAGTTCTTAAAAATTAAATTATCAAAACAACGATGAGGTATCAGCTCATCCCAGAAACAATTGTAAAGTTCAACAAGGCAGTAAACAACAAATGCTGGTGAGTTTGTGGAGAGACTGGAATTCTTATTCACTGCTGGTGAGGATGTAAAATGGTACAGCCACTATGGAAGGCAGTCTGGTGCTTTTATAAAAAGTTGGAAATAGAAATACCATTTGACTCAGCAATTGTACTACTGGGAGTATACCCTAAAGACCAGACCCACAACTCAAACAGATCTATGCAGACCCATGTTTACTGCTGTTATACACAATAGCAAAGAGATGGAAACAACCCAAATGCCCATCAACAAATGAATGGATAGAAAAACTATGGTATAGTCACACAACGGAATTCATATTACGTAGCACTGACAATGAACTCATAAAATATTTCACAACATGGGAGAGACTAAAGGACATTATTCTAAGTGAAACATCTTAGTCACAAAAGGATAAATACTGCATAATCACCAATATAAAGGACAAACATGGAGGGGGTTGAGGAGAAAATAGGAAAAGTGTAGGTAGATAGATAATGAACCTGAATTAAATCAGATGAAGGGAAGAACTGTCTGAAAGGAATGTATGATTAGGCATTAAGTGTATGATAATAATTTGAAACAAGGGATGCATTGTAGAGAGGGGAAAGAAAATATGCAACAATGAAAAAGAAAACATTTTTGATGTTTTTTTTAAAAAAATAAAATTAGAATTCTTGTAGAAACAGGTCATTTTCCTTAAGTAGATCTTGATGAAAGATGCTTTGAAATTATATGTAATCTTCTATTTTTTTAGTAGTCTTTTATCCACATATTCTTATATTTATCTCTTCATTCATTCACTAAGTAAGTATTATCTACAAACAAAGCATGCTAAGTGGCATAGGGAAATGACAGGGAAGAAAACAGAACTGTCTTTAAAGAGCTTATAATCAGGCAGTGACTAAAGTAGAAATATAATTGGGTTTTCTTACCATTAGCATTTCACTATAAAGGACGTACTCATGTACAACAGGTAACAGGGTCTCAGAGAGTCCAAACATCCGCCTTTCTGTGGCCTTACAGCATTTGTCAATGCAGCTGGCAACACCTTTGAGGCTATCAACCAGATCCTCTTCTGATGCTGACCACAGAATATGAATTGGCCCAAATTCTTTCATTTCCTCAAAATAGTCTGTAAAACAAAAATATAATGGATTCTTAATAAATTCTTTCATTTCCAGAAGTTTTCAAAACCTCATTATCATAGTAAAAAAAAGATCTTTTCTTAATGTGTGCACATGATAGTAGGAAGATGGCTGTCCTCTCTCACTGGATTGACCCTTCATTCTAATGTGCCTAGGTTAGTCATTAAATTACTGCCCAAGGATAATCAATACAAGCAGCCCTTTGCACTCAACAATGTCCTGGTATGGAAGATAAACTACATGACCACCATATCTATCATAGACTCCTAAATGAGCATTATACAGCTTCAGACTACAATTCTGACCGTTTTGCTCACACAGTTAGATGGCTCAAGAAGGGAAGGTGTGAGGCTCTACCTCGCTGATTTTGCACATTATTAAATAGAGGAAGAATCAGTCTATGAAGAATGACATCACGTTTGGTAGAAGGTCCATGAAAAAGAGGAAAATCCTTAATGAGATATATGCACATAATGGTTATAAAAATGGGTTAGAGCATAGTAATGACTGAGAACTCTTGTCTTCTACATGGAGTTGCAGAGTCAGAACCGATGCAACATCACCTGACAACAAGAAGTATGATCAAAGTACTAGATTAAGCACCTATGCCTATTTCTTTCACTGTCTGTGCTTTGTCTTTTCCCAATGTCTGTTCTCTTTATCCTTTTAATTTGTTCATTGTTTATTATATATGTATCACTTTCTCTATGAAGTGACAGTAAAAATATTAAGTAGTAGAATATCTGGGTCATATGGAATGTCTATGTTCAGCTTTTTGAGGAAGTGCCAAACTGCCTTCCAGAATGGCTGTACCATTTTACAATCCCATCAACAACGTATAAGAGTTCCTTTTTCGTCACATCCTTTCCAACATTTATTTCTTGCTGCCCTGTTAAACTTTTCCATTGTTACTCGAGTGAGATGGTACTCCATTAGAAATTCCATATGACTGAGCTATTCCACTACTTGGAATATATCCTGATAAAACGAGAACTGAGGCACAAACAGATATCTGTACACCAATGTTCACAGAAGCATTATTCACCATCGCAAGAACATGGAAACAGCCCAAATGTCAAACCATAAAAGAATGGATTGAGAAAGTGTGTTACATTCACAAAATGGACTACTACACTGGAGCAATGATTTTGTAAATTATTACTTAACTTGGAGCACAAATGTCCAACCACAAAAGAATGGATTGAGAAATTGTGGTGTATTCACACAATGGATACTACGCAGCACATTGGAGTAATGCTTTGCAAATTATTACCTAACTTAGGAGGGACTTGAGAGCATTATACCGAGTGAATTAACTCAGTCCCACAAGGATAAATATTGTATAAAACCATTACTGTAGAATGAGTATAAGGATCCAAGAGAATGGGGAGGGTGAAAGCAGAGGGATGAAGATGTGCAGGGGGATGGGGGATTAATCATGGAATTGTACAATTTGATGGGGAGGGGGTGAAGGAAATTGGAAGACTCTGTTCTTGAAATCAATGTATTTGAATTTTGTAAATAAACTAGTATTAAGGGGGGGGAGACTATTCAGGGCCTATGAAGTGATTACTAGCATTGTTTTAATTATAAACATTTAATTACCTCCTTTTTTCTTCCCTCCTAAGAACATTTGGTAGTCTATAATACTGTGAGGTATTGCTTCTATGACATTAACAAGGATTATAAATGCATATTCCAACCAGGAGGGGAAAGCTGGCCTTTTCAAGTCTACGCAGCAGCAGAGCAGAGATATTAGCTCTGGTTTTCTGATTTTGGACACAATGACTTTTAGTATCTCCTAAGTCACTTCTTGTATACTTTTTTATAATGAGCTAGAAAGCCTTCTTTGGGGGATTGTGTAAATTTTCTTTTATTTCTCTATGATACTATGCTTCTGTGTCAAGTTTCTTTCATTTCAGCACCATGCTTTGTTGATAACCAGGTTTCATAATTTCAAACTATACCCTATTGTTCTCTAAGGATGTGGTCTTAGGTTCAACTTAGGTAAATGGAAAAAAGAAAAAAAGAAATCTGGACATCTAGAAGCCATTTTCCACAAGTGGAGATCCTGGAGACAGACTACATTCCAAAGGCAAAACCCTCCATCTATCACAGGGCATCTATCATAACAATGAACTTAGAGAGCATTTCTGTGTGAGTCAGCATGAAGAGACTATTAAAACCTATTATGCATGCAGCTATACTCTTTACTCATAGGGGTAAAACCTCAACTACATATTTTCTCAGGGCTCTTATACATAGGGTTGCCATGAGTTGTAAGTGACTCGACGACACATAACAATATATTTTCTATTAAAGTCCAACTTGCTAAAAATATCTTTAAACTAGATTTCTCTTCTGAGTTCCAGAAGCCTATCCCTACACACACATACACACATTGGGAACCCTCCACATACACACAGACACAACATATACATAACGGGAGCCCTTCGATGGTGCAAATTGCTAAAATACTCAACGAATATCTGGGAGGTTGTTGGAGTGAAACCACTTAGATATGACTTTTAAAAATGGACACTGTGATCTACTTTTGAAAGGTTAAAATCGTGAAGCTCTTTTGAGCAACTGTACTCTGCATATATAGGGTTGCTACTGTTGTTATGTGTTGTTGAGTCTGAAATGACTCCTAACTGACCCTCTCAAAGGTTTCCAGAAGCAGTAAATTGCGAGGGAGTAGAGTGCCCATCGGACTCCCATGGAACACAGGTGGATTCAAACTGCATGCCTTTGGGACTACAGTGCAGCTTCTTACCACTAGGCCACCAGAGCTCAGTTGCTATTAGTCAGATTCAAACTGACGGCAATGGCATATGCAATATTTTGAACAAAAGTTGTTCATTCTTTCCCTCCTCCTGATTACTATCCAACTTAGTTTTAACTGCTAATCTATTCACCTAAGAAAAAAATATGAGGTTAAGGCTAGCTTCCCACTTACACAGATCTAATTTCAGTTTCTGTCTTTCTCTCTCTCTTCCCTGACTTTTACTGCTATGTGCCTATTAAAAGATACTTAGGTCTCTTCTGTTTTCCTTCTTTCATAATATATAAGTATTAAAGCTTCTTAGCTGGGTAACAAAGTCCTTTATGAGCAGTCTCCCCACACACATCTCTTCAAGTTGAATTCATAAGATTCTCTCCCACATATATTTGACACATATCAAAATAAGTGCTCATTCAAAGTTTTATATTTCTATTCAGTAGTATCCCACTGTTATAAATGCTTGCATAACTCAGATTCTCTATTATTCTTATATCTCAAAGCCTGCTACATAATGTGCTTAATAAATATTTTCATATCAATGAAAGAATAAATACATGATAAATTAAAGACTTGTCTTGAAGTGTCCTGTTGCTAAGACATTCATTCAAAATTTAGGAGCTTATTTTAAAATCTGAATATTTTTACCTTTTTTTTACATTTTCACAGTCAACATTCAATGCTAAAGAACTTGTTATGTCTAAGGAACTTATCAGTAGTGAATATTTTTGATACAATATTCATATAAAAGCAATGAATTATTTTGTGTTTTATTCCTCTTAGTATAATAATATGTTCAATCACCATACTACTCATTAAAGTTGGTTGAAATCTGCAGTATTGCTCAAACTTAAACCATTAAAATTCAAAATTTTGTATATTCAAATTAGTGGAAAGCATAAAGAAACAGTCATTTTTTAAAAAGAACAGTCTAAATGTAACCAGCTAAAGTATTAGACTTAATGAATGTGAATGTTCTTCTAATGCTACTCTCATGAACAAAGGCCTAGCTTTTATTTTAAATAAAGATCACATTACTCTAATATATCTAGAATAGAAACTTTTTCATCTTACTAAATTTCTCCAATTGTGTGTCTATTAGTATATGTCATATCTGTACAATTTTTATTCTTACATACAGAACTTCTGCAAAATTGAAAAGTGTGGTGAAATATCATGAAAATCACATCCTGTAAGTATTTAATGAGGGTAATTTTATGTTATGTTAATACAAGTGTATCCGTAAATACACCTTTTCCTGAACTAGATTTTAAAATTCAAGAATAGCAATCATGGCAAGCTCTGGTGGCCTAGTGGTAAGAAGCTGCACTGCAATTCCAGACATGAGAGGTTTGAATCCACCAGATGCTCTGAGGGAGAAGGAGGGACAATCTCCTCCTGCACCAGTCAGATCCAATTTGACGGTATGTACACGCACTTGCGTGTACACACACACACACACACACACACACAGAAAGAATAGCTATCATATTGTTCTTTCTTTACTCTAGCACAGACAGTAACACATAATAAAATGTATTGAGTAACTTTAAAAAACAAAACAAAATCAAAGAAAAAAGATGAATACCCAAAAGACATTAAAAGAAAAGTCATTCATTACAGATCACCAAATTCTTTCATTTGAATATTAAAGAATCACCCTTCTGGTGGCCTACTAGTAAGAAGCTGCACTGTAATCCCAAAGGCACACTGTTCGAATCCACCAGCAGTTCTACGGGAGAAAAATGGACAAGCTTCTCCTATACAATTTACTTTATCCAGAAACCAGCTGGTCATGGGAAGAAAGATAAACACGCTCCTCATATAAAATGTACTGCCTCTAAAAATCTGCAGAAGGTTCAGTTATGAGTCAGTTCCAACTCAACAGCACATACTTTAGGAATACTTTAGGAATCAGAAAATTTCACAGAAGAATTACTGCCTTTGAACTCTAGTGTTGGAGAAGATATTTAATATCCCAGGGACTGCCAAAAGAACAGATATTTCTTAGAAAAAAGTGCAGCCAGAGTGTTCCTTGGATGCAAAGATAGTGAAGCTTCATCTCTCATGGTACGCTGTCAGGAGAGGCTGTTCCTTGGAAAGGGACATCATGCTTCGAAAGGTGGAGTGTCAGTGGAAAAAAAGGAATACCTTCCACAAGATGGACTGACACAGTGAATTTCACAGAAAATTTCCATTAGACCATCTGAAAACACAGATAAGAAAATTGACATACCCCGTTCTTCCTTGTGAATTCTCTGGGATATTTTATCTATCAAATTTATTTTCTGGCTAAATGTTTCAATAAAGTTATTCATATCCATGAACTCCTCTGGGCGGTTCTTCACTCCTCTCATGGAGGAGGCAACAGCTCTGACGGTCTGCCCCATTCGACTGAACAATCCAGGTCCTTGCTTCTTGTGAGAAGACAGTTCCTAGAAACAAAAAAATGACATATTTGTAGTGAAGCAATATTCCAAGATTCAATAAGAAAAGGAAACCTAACTAGGAGAATAAATCAAAGATAATATAAATATTCACACAGGTCTTCTTACTAGTATAGCAGAAAAAATTTGAATGCTAATTTGAAGTAAATGAATTTTATTCGGGTAAAGATCCTCCTCTAAGTTCATCTGGATGGTGATACTCACTTACTAAGCACTTGTGTCAGGAAACCATGTCAGGATTGACACAGTGATTGCCACAATGGTCTCTGGTGTGTCAGGAAGTATGATAATGGCACAGGATAGCACAGGATTCAGATCTGTTGTTCACTGGGTCGCTATGAATCATATTCGACTCAATAGCACCTAACAACAACAACAACAATAAGCTTGTGTAGACATATATTGTCTTTCCCAAAGCATAAAACTTCAAAAGGATATGGTTTAAAGGAAGTAATATGCTCAAGGAGATACTAGAGAAGATGCTGATATACTATGCAATCTGTACTTTATAAGAGGAATTTAAAGGGGGGAAAGTATTGAAAGATTATTTATCAAAACCTAAAGACTGAAGCTGTCAATGATTTCAACTTCCTTGGATCAACAATCAACATTCTTGGTACCAGCAGTCAAAATATCAGGAATCATAATGCTTTGGGCAAATCCACTGTTAGGGACTTCTCCAAAATATTGATGTCAGTTTGAAGACTAAGGTAAGCCTGATCCAGACCAAGATGTTCTCAATCACCTGCTATGCATCAGAAAACTTGACAATGAATAAGGATGACAGAAGAATTAGTACCTTTGAGTTGTGGTGCTGGAAAACCGTACTGAATATTCAAAAGAACAAACAGGTATGTCTTGGAAAAAGTGCAGGCAAAGTGCTCCTTGGAGGAAAAGATGGTTAAGCTTCATCTTTCATACTTTGGACAAGTAGCTAGGTGAGGCTATTCCTTGGAAAAGGGCATTATGCTTGGAAAGATCGGGGGCCAGAGAAGGAAAGAAAGACTCCCAATGAGATGGATTGACACAGTGACTTCAGCAATGGGTTCTAGTGTGTCAGCGATGATGAGAATGGCACATGATAGGGCGGGGTTCAGGTCAACTGTTCAGAGCATCACTGAGTAGTACTCAGTTTAATGGCACTTAACAACAACAAAGCTATTCTGGTACCAGCAGTCAGTAAATCAAGAGATGTATTACACTGGGAAAGTCCATTGTCAGGGAGCTCTTCAAATTACTTTAGAGCAACGTCAGCTAAAGACTAAGGTGTGCCTCGTTCAGGATATGGTCTTTTCATTGTTATGCATGTGAGGGCTAACCGATAAATAAGGATGACAGAAGAATTAATGCCTTAGATCTGTAGTGTTGGGGAAGATATTTAACATCCCACGGACTGCCAAAAGAACAGATATTTCTTGGAAAAAGTCCATCCAGAATGTTCCTTGGAGGCAAAGATGAAGCTTCATCTCTCATGGTACGCTGTCAGGAGAGGCTGTTCCTTGGAAAGGACATCATGCTTAGAAAAAGGAAGGGTCAGTGAAAGAAAGGAATGCCCTCAACAAGATGGACTGACACAGTGACTTCAGCAATGGGCTCAACTGTGTCACAGATGATGAAGGATGACATAGAATAGAATTCAGATCTGTTGTTCATAGGATCATTATAAGCTCTACTTGCCATCACCTAACAACAGGAAGAAGTTGTTCCATGAAAATAAAACCCTCCATTTAACTCTTTAGCCATAATAATATATAAGATTTTTGAGAGTTTATACATTCTAAATATTACATTCACATATTTCTATACATAATTCACAATAACTCTATGAAGCAATAACTATGTGCTATTAATTTTATTTTACAAAAGAAAACTGAGAACAGAAAGGTTAGGTAACTTATTCAAGGTTCAAGGGCTAATTAAGTGGTACATATGAATCAGTATGACGACTGTGTAACTTGAAAGCTTCTGCTGTTTAGTATTAGCATATTTCACTTCTGTAATGTCACTGGGTGAGTGATAACTACAGGATGTTAGCTCCTCAACAAAGTGAAGATAGCAGAAACTGGCTGAGTTATTAAGACTTTTAATAAAACATATATATAGCTCTTTCACAGTGAACCTAGAAAGACCAGTTATAAATGTGTTGAATGAAAGAAATTTTATAAAAGAATCCATTACACAGAGGTATCTCTTCAGAAGAATGTTATGTACCATCTGGTAGAAGCCAATCCATAGGTAACCCTCCAGTGGATTTGAAAAGGCAGTAAATGTGGGAGAAGACTGGCCATCTTGCTCCTGCAAAGCAGCTAGCAGATTCGAACCACGTGCCTTTGGGTTAGTAGCACAACTCCTTACCACTAAGCCACTAACGCTCCCTTTCAGAAGTACAGCCATGCTTGAAAACAACTGAAAAATGAGAAGGCATTCTGGTGACGGTTGTAGCACTTTCTGAACACAGATACAGAGACAAAGAGAAGTTGAATAATAGCACACAAAGAAAAAAAGCCCTATAACTACCAATGCTGACTACTTAATTCACTGATAATCATGTGTTAATTTACCCAACTATTAAATATTATGCCTCGTTCTCTAGATTTTCTTGCCTGAATAGCTTACAGAAAACAGTGTATACAAGCACAATTCCTCCTAAGTCAGTACGATTTCTGTGTAAATATAAAAATATTCTCATCTCTGACCATGCAAAATATCCATCCAGGCATGCTCTGGAACCATATGACTGATTTTTAAGTATTATCTGAGACAGCACAAGGCAAAATTGACAAGCAATTACTGAAACTGCTGTCTACAGAGAATGCTTTGAGTAACTTCTAAGGTTCTGAAGCTGGGCTACAAATTCATTTCCCATTAGCCATAAAAGGTTTCCAGAAAGTAGGTCTAGGTTAAGATTGAGATATACCACTTGTTTAGCTTCTACCACTCTGGCAAGAACTGAGACAGATATTCAACATTGGTCAGTAACCCTTTTCTATCAATTCTTTCTTGTTAAGTTCTATTTTCATAGGAGAAAATAAAAACAAAAGAGGTATATACATATATTTTCTACTAGAAATTAGATCTTCCATATTAGACAACTGAAGGGTAAGTAAGAATGCTACAGGATGCACTTACTTATCTATTTAACAAAAGTCCTTTTATCAACATAGAAAGCACTAATGCAATCACTCTTACTCCAAAAAGTTTCAATAAAGAATATGTATATGGTTTGTATTGGTTATATATAGGCCCTGGCATTGAGGGATGAGGATGTGCAGGGGGAGAGGAGATTAATCATGGAGTTGTACAATTTGATGGGGCAGAGGGTGAGGGAAATTAGGAGAATCTGTTCTGGAAAACAATGCATTAGAATTTTGCAAATAAACTATAATTAAAAAAAGTAAATTTCACTCATCCGGGCTATAGTCTTTGCAATTACGTGCTATGCATCAGAGAGTTGGACAGTGACTAGGGTAGATAGAAAGAGAATTTGATGCCTTTGAGCTGTGGTGCTGGATAAGAGTGTTGAATATACCATGGACTGCTAGGAGAACAAAGAGGTTTGTCCTAGAAGAGTGGGTGAAGCCAGAATGCTCCCTGGAGTCAAGGATTCTGAGGCTTCATCTGATATATTTTGGGCATGTTGCAAGGAGGGACTGGTCCTTGGAGAGGGACATCATGTTTGGCAGAGTGGAGGGACGGCGAAGGAGAGGAAGACCTTTGATGAGATGGGTAGATTCTGTGACTGGAGCGGTGGGAATAAGTGCATTTGAGATGGCGAGGTTGGCACAGGATAGAAGAGCATATAGAGCTCTTGTCCATAGGGTCGCTATGAGTCACAAGCGACTCGATGGCACACAACAACAACAACAACATGAAGGAAAACTAGCAATACACTGGTTATATGTGGAAAAAAATAATATATACACACACACATACACACACACACACACATATATATATATGATTCTAATATCTGCAGGTTTCATTAAGGACACTAACATCTAATTTATAAAAGTAAAAAGGAAATGTATACAATCAGCTATAAACACAGACACTCAAAAATTATATTTATATAGCTCAAAATTTCTTTACCCAAGCTTGTGCAGTAAGAAAAACTTTAAAGTCTTCATTAAATGTTAAAGTTGGATGATCAGCAATACGATTCAAAAATTTATGCAACGCCTTCCTCCGTGTCTCAATGAAGTCATCATTAAAGCGTTCCACCATTCCTTTCACTATAAACTTCTCTGGCAGTGGCTGAAGTAAAAAGAGCATTTCTGAACATTAGACTGCATAGGTTTATAAGCAACTCTACAGTTTATTTCTTTTCTGGAAGTCTAGTATGCACTTAAACATTTCCTACATTTTTTTTTCTTTTTCACATTCAGAATGCTAGAATCAAAATAAGAAATAAGAACATATTACAATCATTGTTGTGTTGTTAAGAGCCAGAAGTCAACTCCAATTCAGTACCACCTTACTGAGCTTGTACAGAACAAAACCCTTTCCAATCTGTGCCGTTCTCACAATTTCTGCCTTGCTTCATCCCACAGCTGCAGTCACTACGTCATCCCACCTCTTTGAAGGTCTTCCACAGTTTTGCTGACTCTCTAGTTTTCCAAGGATGATGTCCTTTTTCAAGGACTAGAAGGATCCCTGGATGGCATGCCTTTTAAAAAAAAAATCTATACAGAGACTGAAAAGTTTTAAAACTAGTATATCTAAAATAAAGGAATCATACTGAATTTAAAGTTTTCAGATTTGTTTTAAGTACTTGAAAGACTCACAGACAAAATGACAGTTAAGTCCATGAAAAAGTAGCAAAGCTTACAGGAATGATCAGAGTGGGATGTGCTTCTTCAAGTCTTCCCTTCAACCACAAAAAATCTTGATAACGTCTTCTAACTTCAAATTCACTAGAGTCAAACTCACTACGAGATGTCTGAAGAAAGTGGGGGGAAAAACATTATCACATTCAATATAAGACAGAAGACATTTGCCTAATGTTATTTTAGGAATTCTGAAATAGATGGATTGCTAAAGAAAAATAATAAAACCTTAATTATTCAGTGTTTGCTAGCCTGCACTTTTTTTTTTTCAGTCTTCTACTCATATAGTACATGAAACAAAGCAAACTTTTTGATATTTCCAGAAAGAAAGCAAACATCATGCTGGAATTTAAAATCCACACAGAAAAATCTGTCTTATAACCACCATCTGCCTTCCACAAGATTTTAAATACTATTATCTTTGGCAGGACTTTCTTGTTAACAAGTGTGATCTGAAATTAGGTTTCCAATATATATCTTTCCTCAAGATGATTAGAATTCAGAATTTGAGGAAAGTCCTATTTTTACAGTTTGGAAAATAACATGGATGTAACTGAGAAATTTTTTCAGACATTTGTTCAAGTAAATTGCCTTGCTAAAATGTGATTTTAGTATACGAAAATTCTAACATTTCATGGAGTGATTTTATCACTGTTTTAAAAATGCTATTAACGGATATTTGATGTAAAAAAAGGAAACCTTCCTGCCATTTCCCAAAGCATTTTCTTTGCAGTTGTATGCCTAAATTCCTCAAAATTAAGCAAAGGGATTAAAATATGGTCTCAACAATTTTTTTTCCTTATGTCAGTGGCAAGAAGAAAACATGAGAACACTCTATCTCACTTTTAAGTCTGAATTCTAAGTCAAATATAAAAATCTGAAATATTTAAAGCATATCCAGCTCTCATAAGAAAACAGTTACTTTTACAAATACCTGCTTGCACAAGAAGACCTCACAACTCATTGCCACCAAGTCAGAACCAACTAATAGCTGACGTTCTGGCGAGTTTTCTGAGCCTGGAAATCATATGGGAGAAAACTGCCCATCTTTCCTCTGCAGAATTTCTGATGCATCTGAACCACCAGAGGGGCGCCACTCTGGGTCAATAGCTCGACTCCCTCTGACTAGATCACCTGGGCCAGATCATTATTATGTATTGGGTTTCCACTGGTTGAGTTCATTATGTCAGTAGCATGTTGTCAGGTGTTTCTTTCATCGTGTCTTAGTCTTAAGGCTCTTCTGGAACACTGTCCAGCATCAGAGCAGCACACAAACCTCCACTGGCCGATGGTGGTAGTAATGCATTAGCCCAGCAAAAACTGAACTGAATCTCCCTCATGGAAAATAAGATGTCTTCTATTGAACCATCACTGTCCTCTGTTCTAAACCAATCCTTAAATCAAGTGCCTAGTACTATGTTCTAGGATTATCTTAGTTTTATCGATTTAAAAAAATACTGATGCTTTGAGGAGTTAAATGTGTTTTTTCATTGCTTTGAAATACTGACTCCAGGATCCGCAATCTATAAATGTGAAGTTAAAACTACATGACAAAAAAAAAAAAAAACAACTACATGACAAAATGAAAAAAAAGAGGAAAGACTTAATCAAAAATCAAAGGGCAACTGGCATTTAAGTTTTTCTCTTTAAAAAGAACTAAGCAATCTTCTGTGTTAGAGAGAGAAGGGCATACCACACAGAAGGCAAAGGATGCATAAACTCATGAGAGCAAGAAGCTTCTGGAACATTCAGACTCCAGAAGAAGTTCTATGAGAGGAGAACAAGATAGTCCATGTGGGGAGAGAGAGATATGCTGTGTATTTTAGATCCCCATCACAGTGAAAAGCTTTACAAATATCAGACAATGTTTCTTTTTAAAAATAGGAATCAAAGAGATGAGGGAGATCTTAAGCATTTGAGTATAGATATCAGATATCTTCATTTTAGGAAATATAGTAGGCAGAGTATGCAGGTTGCATAAGAAGATGTGATTAATGAAGGCAGACCAGAAGCTTCCTGGCCACAAAATGGGTTTACTTTCCATCTAAAAATTTCATTTGGCCAATACGATGCTTCAAAAACAATATAATACCATTTATTTTAAAAAATCAGATAAGATGTAATCCCACCCAAAATGTTTAAAAGCCTAAGTGAATTCAACAGAAAATCTGTAATGTTCCAATAGTCCAATGACAGCAATTGTCTTCAAGTAAATTTCTTTTAGTTGTTTACCTTAGTAATAATCCTGTAAGTAATGAAAGTTTCAATTGTAGTAACATGGCTTTCAGGTTCATCAACTGTAATAAAGAGATCCTTCAAATCTGGCTCATCTTCAAATTTAATTTGGTTTATCATCGATAAAGGGGATGTTGGCATCATAGGGCTGAAGGAATTCATGTCCATCAGTGAGGCATCCTGGTAAATAAAATATTTAAAAATTAACATCAATAGAGTATATAATTAGAGTCATCTTATTATAGATACTAACACTAATAATGAATTAAAAATGGATACTTGGTTATCCTGGTAAAGAAGGCACACAGAACATTTACATTTGTCTTCTCTTTCTCTTATATTCTTACCCCAAAATGACAGTAAATAAACAAAACAAAAAGAAATCTAAATATATAAAGGATTAAACCTCAAGGGTGAAGAAACTATGGCAAATAAAGTTCATTTTGGAAAATGAAAATTGGATCTCATGTAGTAAGTGAAAAGAACAGTGCGGAGAGAGATGAACACTAAGGATGGCAAACTTGGAAGCAGCAAGCACATTTGATTGAGACGTGGTCTTTGAAGAAATGCAGCCAGGAAGTTCTTTGAAAAAAGACATCATGCTTGGTAAATTAAAGGGTCAGAAAAAAAAACAAACCACAAAACAAAAAAAAGATTCTCAATGAAATGGATTGGCAGGGTGATTACTTAACAATAATGGGCTCAAACCCAGGAGAGACTGTGAGGATTACACAGGAGTAGGCAGTTTCGTTCTGCTGTATATAAGACTAACATAAGTCAAATCCAAGGCTATGGGACCTACAGTCACCCTACATAATGTCAAAGAGACAACAAGTGACTAAAATGTTGGATGAAAATGTCATTAGATTTTACAGTAACAATACTGGAACCACTGGGCCAATTGACAGCAGAATGATAGATGGTGAAGAGATTGAGAATATTGACAGCTTCAGTTTGTTTGGCTCTACAATCAACACTCTTGGTACCAGCAGCCAGGAAATAAAAAAAGATTAATTGCATTGAGAAAGTCTGCTGGTAGAGACCTCTCCAATGCACTGAAGACCAACGATGTCAGTCTGGAGACTAAGGTGCACCTGCTACAGGCAGTTACTTTGCAGTTACTTGCTATGCATCAGAGAGCTGGACAATAAGTAAGGATGACAGAAGGACAGTTCATGCCTTTGAGCTGTGGTGTTGGAGAAGAGTACTGATTATACCTTGACTACTAGGAGAAGCTGGAAGCAGGAGCGGCATCCACTTCCGAAATGGCTTGCCTCCGGAAATTCTATGTATGAACAGTTCTCAGGCCGTTCGTTCACAGGGTCGCTATGAGTTGTCTACGACTCAACGGCATCAAACAACAACAACAACCAGGAGAACATACAATCAACTCTTGGTACCAGCAGCCAGAAAATAAAAAAAGATGAATTGCACTGGGAAATTCTGCTGTTAGAGACCTCTCCAAAGTACTGAAGAGCAACGATGTCAGTCTAGAGACTAAGGTGCACCTGCTACAGGCAGTTTACTTTGCAGTTACTTGGTATGCACCAGAGAGTTGGACAATGACTAGGAAGGACAGAAGGAGAATTGATGCCTTTGAGCTGTGGTGCTGGAGAAGAGTATTGAATGTACTATGGACTGCCAAGAAATCAAAGATTCATCCTGGAGAGGGTTAAACCAAGCTACTCCTTGGAGGCAAGGATTCTGGGGCTTCGTCTGACATACTTTGGGCATGTTGCAAGGAGGGACAGGTCCTTGGGAGGGTGGAGGGACGGTGCAAGAGGGGAAGACCCTCTATGAGATGGATTGATTCAGTGACTGGGGTAATCGGGATGGGTGTGTCAGTGGCAGTACGATTGGCACAGGATAGAGCAGGGTTTAGGGCTGTTGTACATAGGGTCGCTGAGTCGCAAATGACTCGACGGCACATAACAACAACAACAACTAGGAGAACAAATAAGTTTGTCCTGGAGAAGGTGAAGCCAGGCTGCTCCTTGGAGGCAAGGATTCTGAAACTTCATCTGACATACTCTGGATATGTTGCAAGATGGGATCAGTCCTTGGATAGGGACATCATGCTTGGGAGGGCGGAGGGACAGTGTAAGAAAGGAAGACCCTTGCTGAGATGGATTGATTCAGTGGCTGGGGTAATGGGGATAGCTGGGTCAGAGACATTAAGATTGGCAAGGGATAGAGCAGGGATTAGGGCTGTGGTACAAAGGGTCACTATGAGTCACAGGAGACTTGACAGCACACAACAACAATAACAACAATAAACAATAAGTCAGTATCTTCTAAATTTGGTGAAGAAAATATTTACCATTTAAGAGTTCTATTACCAAGAAAACAGTCATTCAAGTGTGTAGATCTCAAACACTAACTTCTCTTGCACCTGGTCTTTGGGAACTTCCTTACTTCGCAAAAATATGATCAAATACCAAGGTAAAAGTGGTAGGGTTTGAAAACCAGGACAGGCAATGAAAAAGACAAGTAAAGAAACTGATTGAATGAAAGTGAAAGGAGCAACGTGGTCTGTCTTAAAGAAAGTGCACCCAGACTGCTCCTTGGAGACAAGGATGGTGAACCTCTACCCAACACACTTTGGACATGTTGTTGAAAGTCTTTCAATTTCCTCCATATGACTTCCACATCCATTAATTGTTTGATCTCAGCTATCCCTTTATCCTTGAGCAAATGATGTTCTCTTGATGATAATTTACTTTGAGTAGTGAGTGTCTCCTGGTGTTAAGTTTACCTTGTAGTCCTATCAGTTTGGCTACATTCCTCTTCATGTCATCCAGCTTCCAGGATTATTTGCTCAGCATACAGACTGAATCGGTATAGTGAAAGTATACAACTCTGAAAGCAACCATTCCTGATTTCAAATGTGGCATTATCACCTTGTTCTATTCAAATGACTGCTTATTGGTCTATGTATATAGGTTCCATATGAGCACAATTAAGTATTCTGGACTTTCCATTCTTCACAATAATAGCCATTATTTGTTATGATATACAAGTCAAATGCCTTTGCATAGTCTATAATACACTACTAGACATTTTTCAGCTATGCTTTGATGTGAACATCCACTTGACATCGGCAATGATTTATTTTTTGCTGTTGTTCCACATTATCTTCTGAATCCAGATTGAACTTCTACCAGTTCCCTGATGAGGTACTCTTCCAGCCACTTTGGAAGCCAGCTTCACCAAAATGTCACATGAATAAAATAGTAATGATACTGTTTGATAATTTCCCCATTCAGTTGGATCATCTTTCTCTGGAACGGGCACATATATTTATCTCTTCCAATAAATTGGCCTGAAAATGCAAGTAAGAGCTTACAACGTTACATTATTTTGTAAAACATGTCAATTGGTAGTCTATCAATTCCCGGAGATTTTCTTATCAATGAGCTCACTGCAGCTTGACTATCCAAGGTATTCATATGAGCTGAAGTGGATTAGTACCGGCCATTATGAATCAGAAAAGCATGCGGTCTACTAGGCTGGAGATGATAAACTGAAGATAAACAGCTTCATAATAACCATCAAACAGAAAATTTCAAGATCTATTCTAAAAAATAATGTTCATGGTATAAAATATCTGTATACTCATAAGAAAGAATGGTAAGGTCAGCTTCCATGAATTAAAATTCCTACATATCCCACCAATGCCAAAGATGAAGAAAGTAATAGTTTTCTCAACATCTACAGTAGGAGATTATACCATCGAGTCAGCTATGAATTGGTTCCAAATTCATAGCTGACTTTCTAGCAGGTTTTCAGAGGCAGTGTTTTGCATGGGAGGAGATTATCATATTTCTCCTGCAGAGCAGCTGGTGGATTTGAATGGCATGTCTTTGAGTTGGCAACACAACTCCTTACCACTAACTCACCAGAGTTGCCTAAAATCATAATATATACCTTAAAATACCCATAAAACAAACAAATTTCAATGCTTTTGCACCACCAACTACATCCATATTATTACTCTAAATAATCTTGCCTCAAAAAAGTTTAGGGAAGTGTTATAGGCATGTTGGTTTCTCTTCCATATAATGAAAAAGAAGCACTGTGTTAGACATATTGACTGAAGACACCAGAGCAACTGTTGTTTTAGAGTAAGATGTTTCAGGCTATTTTGATCACAAAAATAACTGATATTAAAAAAAATCTAGACATTTAGGCAAGATTTGGCCTATGGCAACTCCAGTCAGGTTAAATAACGTACAAATATGTATAAACAATGTATGTAGATGCAATTAATGCCTCACAATAAAAGTTTAGTGAGTCAAAGTATGGCATAATGTTATAGCTCAACAGAATAAACCTAATCATATGATAAAATACAGTAATTAAAAGTAATATTTTACAAGACTGTATGGTAACTTGAGGAAAGGATCATGACATATTTTAAGAGGGAAAAAAAAAGGTTCTAAATCTTATACAACCCATAGTGTACGTACTCTATAGGAGAGGAAGGTGACATCAGGAGTGGAAGAAAATTAGTCAATAACCTGTGTTATGGAGATGACACACCTTGCTTCCTGAAAGTGAGGAGAGTTTGAAGCACTTCTGTAGAAGATCAAGAACTACAGTATGGATTATATCTCAACATCAAGAAAACAAAGGTCATCACCACAGGTCCAACAGATAATAATAGGATAAATGGAGAAAGGATTGAAGTTGTCAATGATTTCATCTTTTTTGGATCAATAATCAACACCATTGGTACTAGCAGTAATGAAATTAGGATTCATTTGACATTAGGCAAGTCCACTGTCAAGGAACCTCCCCCAAATTCTTAAAGAACAATGATCTTAGTTTGAAGACTAAGGTGTTCCTGATTCAAGACATGGTCTTTTTGATCACTTACTATGCATCTGAGAGTTGAAAAATTAGTAAGGATGAGAAAAAAGAATTGATACTTATGAGCTGTGGTGTTAGAGAGGAGCACTTCCATGTGGGGAAAAATGACCTTTACCAACTCCACAATGGGGAATTGTGTCAGTCAACAACATTAACAACACAAAAGCTATTCCCAGGATCAGACATGTCTCTCACACTCCTATACCTCTTTCGATTCATCCCAACACAACCTTACTGTGTTACTGGGTCCTAAATCAGATGTGGTAACTTACAGACCACACAGAACCATATCAGGGAAGACAAAATGC